TCGTTATGCTTCAGAAGATTGGAGACTGTTGAGAATTAGGCTTGGGGTTGATTAATGATTGTGCATTGAGTCCCCTATACAGAATTTTATTGTTGTTAACAACCATTTGATCAATAAATATGAGAGATGCCCTCTCAAAAAAAAAAAGATGATATTCAAAATGGTATTTATGAGAGGCTATATATATACTGAATGATTCCAACTATATGACGTTCTGGAAAAGGCAAACTATGGAAACAGTAAAAAGTTTAGTGGTTGACAGGGGCTGGGTAGGGATGAGTAGCCAGAGCCAATTTTTAGCTAGTGAAACTAGTCTGTGTGATACTTAGTGGTGGATTCATGTCATCATACATTTGTCCAAATCCACAGAATGTACACCACAGAGAGCAAACCCTAAAGCACACTGTGGACTCTGAACGATGATGCTTCGATGTAGGGTCATCAACTGCAACCAAAGCCCCACTCTGGTGGCGATGTTGATAATGGGGAGGCTGTGCATGTGTGGGGACAGGCGGGAGACATGGGAAATCTCTGTACCTTCCACTCATGTTTGCTGTGAATCTAAAACTGCTCTAAAAAAATTAAGTATATTAACTTTTTAAGATACTATTAATGTAAGCCTGAGTATATGCAATGTCCATTTATATATGGCTGAGTTCCTTCTTGGGTTATTTAGAATTCAAAATCTGCTTACATATAATGTTCACACTAATACTAATGCTTTTTACTTGCTGTATGCTTTTTCAGCATGTTATCATCTTATTTGAGTCCCAGAGTAATTCTTCAGGGCAAGCCAGTAGTAGCAGAGAAAACTAGGTAATGCTAAGTAAGACTTACCCCTGGTCCATGGTGAATTAGAAACCAAGTCAGGTTTTGACTTGAGTTACAGATCAAAGTTAAGACTGAAGACTCAAAAACATCCCATGCTCTAAACTACAAAAAGACTGCAAATCTTTTTAATAACAGAAAGCCCTCTCTCCTTCAAAGGGCACTGTCAATATTTTACTCCTATAGACCAGGCTGCCTGATATGGTAAACCAGTTAATGTCAGGACACCAAAATAATTTCAGAGCATGGCAGGGTATCCATTACGCCTCGTGCTGGAAGTCCTTTCTATCGCTCTCTTATCACTAATACACCTTGTCATCCTCTACACAAACAAGCATTGTAGTAACAGGAAAAAGACATATTAATTTGTAGGCAGTGTACCAGTCACCTTAGCATCACTTCCTGCATATCCTAAGTAATCTCTGCACACTGAAGAAGGCATCAGAATCCCAGGGTTTAGGTGACTCTAGGACCTTGAGAAGAATCTAAGTATATATACCTTGTCTACCCTCTTTCATTTCCTATGTGATCAGTGGACTGCTATAGTCCTTGAATGCTCTTCTAGATTTCTTTTCCTCTTATAAGAGAAAGGATTGCAGGGCAAAAGCTATGCAGCTTGATCGAAACAGACTGGTAATAAAGTCTGGCATTCAATTACTGCCATTGTAGTGAGGCTTGGCAGCAATAAAATAATTAAGTACATCTTAAAGATGTCTGCTAGATTAAATTCAACCCAGTAGCTCTCCAATCTTCAAGACAGCATAGTTCTTATCTGGAAGCCATTTCAAAATGCACCCTTCCAAGTTTGGGAATATCAATAAAAATTCAAGACGTAAATACCCTTTGATCAATAAATCCCACTGCTAAAAATTTATCCTACACAAATATTTGAACTCTATAATTATCTTACATCATATTTACTCACATACACAAAAATAAATGTACATAGATGCTCTATTATTTGTAAGCACATAAAACTGGAAACAATTTAGATGTACATCAACAATTAGTAAAACCATTAGCTTAACTGATTTTATCCTGGATTTCTACTATCCCAAAGAATCGCTGCTATATTAAAGATACGTTACTCACAGCCTCTGAGTTATCAATAAATGGATCTGTCTCATCATAGCCAAAGCCTATATCAATTAAATCTTGTAGCCGATCCTTCCGGTGTTTACGGGGTTTCCCACCCTGCAAAGAACAGATATGTTAGAGTGATTCAGTGCTCTCACTATCGCCATAAATTTAAAAAATACCTCTTAGAAGAATCTCAAATAATTTCTGTAGATAATCCCAATCCAGGAGGTTGAATTTATGTCCCCCTATACCGTGAATGTAAATTATGCTTAAGGACTTGCTCCCGAAGAGTAGGGTATGAAAAAGAGAAGACAAAGTAACTTTCCAGTGAAAAACCTGGCCAACATTACCTGAGCCAGGTGGTTAAGGTCAACATCAACAGTGATATGTTATGTCATAGCATGTACCCTTGATATGATGTGATAAAAATGATAGTTTAGTAGTTTTCCTTTCAAAAGCCTATGATCCCAACTGTAACTTAACCTTCAGAAAAACACCATGACAAACTAAACTATGAGAAAAACATCAGCCAAACTAAACTGAGGGGCATTCTACAAATAACTGAGCAGCATTCCTCAAAGCTGTCATGATTATTGAAAACAAGAAAAATCTGAAAAACGGTTACAGTTTAGATGAGCCTAAAGAGACAAATGACAAAATGGGATATGGGGCCCTGGATGGGGTTGAGAAGTGAAAAGAGGACATTAGGGGAAAACTAGTAAAATCCGAATAAACTGTGGCATTTAATAGTAATGTACCAAAATTGGTTTGTTATTAGTTCTAACAAATCTATTACACAAATGTAGTATGTTATAGGGGAGAGTGGGCAAGGACTACCTGGGAATGCTTTTATTACCTTGCAACTTTTCTGTAAGTCCAAACTGTTGTTAAATCTTTTTAATGTTATAGAATTACACACATGGACATCTAAGAAAATAAAAAATGAGTACATGCAAAAACTGGTGAAATCTGAATAAGGTCTATGGTCTAGTAAACTGTGTCAATATCAATTTCCTAGTTTTGGTAACTATAGTTACGTAAGATACCATTACCACTGGGAGAAACTGGGCAACTGGTAGAAAGGACCTCTTTATACTGTATATGCAATTTCTTGTGAGTCTCTAATTCTTCCTAAATAAAAAATTTTTTGAAAAGTAAAGCAACAACAAAACAAAAAGAATTAATTAGTGTTCCGTTATTCACATCACAGAACCTTTTAACTCTGGCTGATTACAGTATAAAGAACTTTCTGTCTTGGATAAAAATGTTACATGTTTTCTAAAGGTTATATATACACTTGTTATAAGGAGTTTAAGTGAGCAGGAAACCTAATATTGTGGTACTAATAAAATGAGTATTCAGTTCATTCTCCAAGAAGCATTTTAGATATTCATATTATTTACTCATTCAAATTCAACTATACTTCCTAACATCCCCTCTACTTGATTTTTTTGGTCCAGGAGTGTAGGGTGTCAGGGAAAGAAAGCTCAGAAAGAGGAGAGAAAACAATTAGTGGTAAGGATTCTTCCTACCAACATGCCACCACTGAGCCTAAAAGCATGAGATACAAGATGTGAATTTCTCATTCAGTTTCAATTCTCACACTGCTTATCTCTCAACACAAAGTGTGATTCTAATGGTAAAAGATGGATAGATTTTGTGCAAATGAACCTTAAATAAAAGCAAATTGCTTCATTTTATTTCCACGCAAGGAAACAGTGCCAGTATTCGAGGGAAGAAATGGTTGTTGGACTTACCAAGTGATGTTTCACACATGGTGCTATGCCTTGTGTAAAGTAATTTGCAAAGGTAATTCTGAATAAATGCTATGTTAAAAAACCTACACACTGATATTAAAAAACCTAATCCCCATAAGCTATGACTCCACACCATGATTTTCCATGGATAAAACAACACTATCAGAATACTATGCCAATGAAGACAGCCATTAGAATGTGAGAAAAAATAGCATTTCCCGTATTTTTAGATTTTACAAGTTAGGTTAATTTAAAAAACAACTTAAGACCAACACAATAAAGCCACCTAAGGCATAATCTCAGAACAAGGAAAATCCTTCTCAAGGAACACCAGTTGGCAACCTTTACACAGACACATATGTAGCACATATACATACACACAATACACACAAGCGTGTGTACTGAAATCCAACACACAACATATTGTCCTCATTTTTTCCACTTGGAAGGTTTGCAAACTGGAACCCTTACACTATGTTATGGATTACAGTCAGATTCAGAAGTCAGGGGAAGGAAACGGATATTGCTAGAGTTATTCTATCGTGTAAAACTCAACACACAAGCAGTTAAATCCATGAGGGGCTCTTTCACCCAAAAAAAGAAAGGAAGTTCTAAGAAGAATATAAAAAGACAAAAACTTGGGAATATAAACAGACACAAACTAATGAAGAGGACTAGCCCTGTCACATATTAAATATATTTAGTTATGAAAATTAAAATACATATGGCAGGAATATAAGAAACATAAATGGATAGCAATGTTCAGAAACCTACCATAGTATATGAGAATTTAACATAAAAAAAGGCAGCATGACAACTCACTGGAAAGCAATGAATAAATAAAACAGAATTCAGTAATATCAATTTCATTTATCAAATTATAAACTTTAAAAATTCTTGCAAGACAAAGAAGACTGCTCAAACGCTGCTGCTAAGAGTGTACCATTAGAACTCTTTTGAAAGGCAATCTGAAAGCATGTGCCAAGAAATTTTGCCATACTCTTAATTTTCTTCTTTTGCTTCTTCTGTTTTCTACACTTTCTATGAAGTATTAATGTCATAATGGAAATATACTAATTTTTAAAACTCTTCATCTTATTTGACCTGATAATTTTATTGTTAGGTAGCTTATTGTGAACCACTACTTAGATTGAAAAGTATCTATTATGAACTTAATGCTACAGAAAGCAAATTGCTAAATGTCAGAGGTAATTTAAATTTAAGAAAGGGAAGCCCTTGTCCTGAAGGAACTTAAAATCTATTCAGCAAATTAACTGAGCATCTATCAAGCGCCAGCCTTCATGGATTTTAGAATATTGTGGAGAGGAGAAAGATTAAAAGAATAATTACAATAGCGATAAATGGTAGAAAGGAAAAATACAGGTGGTACTGGACTTTTTTAAACAGAGGACCTAATCAAGGCTTTCTCAAGATATTTATGTCCAGCAGACTCACAGACTCCAAGAAGGGGCTAGCAGTTACCAAAGGGGAGTGGTGGGGGAGGATGGGTGGGGAGAGGAGAAGGAGATTGAGGGGTATTATAATTGGCACACATGATGTGGTGGTGGGGTTCACAGGGAAGGCAGTATAGCACAAAGAAGATAAGTAGTGACTTTGTGGCATCTTGCTATGCTGATGGACAGTGACTGCAATGGGGTGTGGGAGGGACTTGATAATATGGGTGACTGTAGTAATTACAATGTTTTTCATGTGAAACCTTTTTAAGAGTGTATATCAATGATACCTTAATAAATCATTAAAACAAACAAACAAACAAAAGATATTTATGCCCAGATAAGGGTGAGCTGAAGTAAGCTTATGGAAGCCACTGAAAGGATTAGAGCAGGGAAGTTAACATAACAGGGTTAGTGCTTAACAAAATCACTCTGGCTACTGTGGTAAGGATGAGCACAGCTGGGGAAGAGAGCAGTTAGGAAAAGGAAAAGAAAAGCAGAGATTTTCAAGAAAGTCACAAGTTAACAGTGGCATGAAATATCTATTTTATGTACCTATGATGACAACGATGACAGCTACGATTCACAAGTGAGAACTCTCCATTAGCACCTATACTAAGTGCAACCATCTATTTGTTCACACTCACAAAACTTAAGCTTGGAAAGGACAAAATAACTTGTCTAAGATCACAGAAAATAATGGAGCCAATCTTCAAACTCATGAATGTCTGACTCTAAAGTGCTATTCTATTAGAAGTTCTATAAGAGAAGTTACAGGACCTTGGGGATCATTTTTCCATCCAGCACACCTTAAACTCAAAACCAAAACTGAAGCCAGTGTTCCCACTGTCACTCATTTCCAAATCAGCTTCTCCCACTTGACATTCCCATTTTATCCATTCTATTTTTCTGCCTTAAAACATCATCATAAGCTAAAGTTAAGAGACTAATGACACCAAGTTGTTAACAAAGATGTGGAAAAATTGAAACTCTCCAGCATAGCTGGTACAAAATAATACAGCCATTCTGGAAAAGAGTCTAGCAGTTTCTTGTAAAGGTAAACATACACTCACCATCTGATCTAACAATCCCACTCTTATTATTTACTCAAGAGAAATGAAAATGTACGTTCACACAAAGACTTGCATTCTAATGTTCAGAGCAGCTTTACTCATGCCAGCCAAAACTGGAAACAATCCAATGCCATTATCAGATCAATGGAGAAGCAAATCGTGATATATTCATACATGGATTACTACGCAGCAAGAAAAAGGTCACACAATGGATTACTAAGCAGCAAGAAAAAGGAAGAGGCTACTGCTAACCATGCAACACAGATGAATTTCAAAAGCATTATGCTAAGTGTAAGAAGCCAGACAGAAAAGATTGTAAGCTTCCATTTACAGGCAACTCTCTTGAAAAGGAAAAAAACAAGAAGAGCAAAAAAATCTATAGTTACAGTAAGTAGATCAGAGGCTGGAGGGAGAAAATTATCTGCAGAGAAGTAAAAGGAAACTCCCTGGGCAATGAAATTGTTCTCTATCATGACTGTGGTGGTGGTTATAGAACTGTGTGCATTTGTCGGAATTCATTAAATTGTACACTTAAAATGGATACATTTTATTTATTTAGATTATACTTCAATAATGCTGATTTCTAAAACTCATAATTTATAATTTATCTCCTTATAAGTCTTTGTTCATACGATTATTCAAATCTACAGCTCCCTTTCCATTCTAACTGCCGATGCTATAACGCTGGCCATTGTTTTTCACTTAAATGTAATGAATGCCTTAATTAGCCTCTCTCCTCCCTCATAGTTATCCTCAACTTATTCTGAATATATCTAATTAATATTTCTAAAATACCACTTCATATCATTCCCCTGCTCAAAATGCTTCAG